TCTTGAAGCTGCTACATTATTTTCTGAGATTGGCTCCACAGGCATTCTTTCCCTCGCATTGCTTGCCTGCCATTTTTCCAGAAACACAGAGTCAATCATGTATGGTTTAGGATTTTAATTAGTAATAAGAGATGAAAATGAACTTGTTTTTGCCAATTTGTAGAGGCGGTGATGGCAGAAAACACCAAGGCCTGAACAGTAGTACCGGAGAGGATCCCAATCCAAAGGCCCTTCCCTCTCAAATTAGCTAAAAACTCAACAAAGCAGCAAATGGAATTGCCAGTTGGTAATATGCCCCAGGATTCACATACGCTCCAATATGCTGCCACCCGGTTCCTCTTGCAACACCTAATCACCCATAGACTTGATTCACTGTAAATTGCAGTGTTTTTGTAAATACGTGAGCTTGACACAATGCATGCAATTGGCCTGTGTGTCGAAGTTGCAGAGGAAAAAAATTATCAGAATATTATATCAATTAGAACAAAATCACTTCTAATTTTTAACACGATACAATAAATATATTCTCTTTCTTTCATTCTATTAATTTCTCTTTACTTACTAACGTGTTTCTTTTGCAGAAATACTCTACTGACAAAAGGTGGTAAGGGAAACTGACCAGAAAGTACAACTCGTAAGCTGTCCATGAAAACTGCAACGCAAAGCGGAGGAATAATTTGTGCAATATAATTCACCACTGCCTCTTCATTGCTAAATATGTATACAAAGACGTTGCGACAAGAAAAATAAGATGATGGCCACCATGATCGGCTCAATTAATGCTATTACCGTTGCAACAATTACAGATAGTCGAGCTGATTCTGGATTTCCACCTCCTAATTCATTCGAAACCCTCGTGCTGTCATGTTTACTCATCATAAATTCCATGCATCTTAGATCATACATACGTACATACAGACACACATATATATATAGCTAATTAATAATGAGGAAAAGTTATGATTTTACATTGCAGCAGCGCTGATCCCATATGGTACAAAAAAATGTAATCCGATGATTGTCATGCTTTAAAAGTGCAACAGTCGAGACATAATTAGTATAAAAGAAGAAAAATAAAACCCTAAAAACTGAAGTGAAGATTGAAGTTCTAAAACGCTATATTATTACATTACTGAATCATTAATCGAAAGAACCGATGTTTCAAGGGCTGAATCTGGTAGAAGACCTGACAGCAGTATAAGCAGTACGAATGACCATAATTCAATACTACAAAATTAACCAATAACCGAACCGAGTTAGATTTTGATCAGTTAATTCAATTAAAACGAAACAACGAACACCCCTTACAAATTATCTAAACCATGAAAAAGGCGGTTATTACATTACCAAAATATTACAGCAGAAGCCAGAAGGGAGGGAGTCCATAGCTAAAGAACTCTTTGACGCCTGAGAAAACGTACGTCCTTGGCGAGGAAAGCACGAGATTTCTCACATGCTAAAGAGTACCTCACGTAAATAACAATCAATACGGCATTAACCCAGAAAGCTAATCCGATCGATAAAGCAGCCCCAGTTATTCCCATACTTGTTTTGTGTGTTAGAAATTAGAGTCAGGCAAAGAGGTATATGGACAAGTACAGATGCAAAAGAGCTCAAGAACCAAGCTTTGACACTGGAGATATCGATTCAATGACTGGAGAATCGGGTTTGCAAGCAATGCAGGTATGAGCCAGATGGCATATCTGCCGGCTTCCATTGCAATTTATGGGTTTTGACCCATTAATACTAACAGTTTCTCCATGAATATCCATATAACGCATATCTGAATACAAATTGGATAGAGGGGGAGTATTGAACAGTAGGTGTAAGTTCCAAGCTTTTGATATGTTCAGCTCCATAAGCTTGTCCACATAAAGTCTCCAATGCACCAGAGATTCCAAACTGTTTTTGGCACATGAAAATGTACAGTGTTACTAAATTAAATAGGCATATAGTGTGCTTTTTTTTCGATTTGCATATAGTGTGCTTTCATTTGATGATGATCATAACATGCACGTATAAAAGACCGAAATTTATGTTAATGAGCCATATAAAGATTAAAGAGGGTGCTAATTTGCAGGTGAAAAAGATGGGAAATTAAGGTCTTAAGGGGGAGAAGACGTACATTAAGCTGAGGCCGGTGAAGTTGGCGAAGGAGAAACCCAATGCGGCCCCAGAAAGAGGTAGCTTACCGAGGTGGCAGACAATTATGACCGAGAAGACATGCAAAAGGTACTGCGTCACCGACACGGCCACCAGCGGTACCGCCATGTCGCTCACCGCCTTTAACTCCTCTGTGAATCCGCTCCATGTTATCTTCCTGTATGCTTCCGCCACATTTCTACTGAGCAATGCATCTTCCATTTTCTTCATCTGTTCTTTTCTCAACTCAACTCAACTCTTTATAATCGAATCTAAATGCTCATTAATTGAGCTACTGAACGTAGTTGGTTCAATCTATTCTATTTAATTTTGACATTTACATTTGCTTAGATAAGATTTTATGGGCTTTTTTTTAAAAAAATCAGCTAAATATTTCCTTTTTGACAACTAGAAGCTAGAATTAATAATGAAGTTGAAAGGAGATATGACATCACATCATATCACATTACATCATTTCTTTTTTCTTCTTTATATTTTAAAGTAAAATATGTAAACAATACATCAATTATAAGATTCTTTTATTAAATACACCTATTAATAAAAATAAGTTAATATGTTGAGATAAAAAAATCGAGTAAAATGATATATTAGTTGATAAAATTAATATAATATTTAACATTTACAATTTATTTTAATTTGAATTCAATTCTAAAAAAGTTAATCATAAAATTTTAATATTATATTAATTTAGTTATTAAAACCTTATTTTTCATTATCCCCTTTCATCTTTTGGACTAATTTCTTGTATTGTTTCTATGCAAACTAATTTGTGAGAACAAAACAAAACTCTCTATATTAAGTCCTTATATTTGAGTAGTCCTAGAGAAATATAAAGTCTTCTTGAAGCCATTAGAATCTTGGTAAAATTAGTCTTCAATTTGGATCCAAAAATTTATAGGATAAAGTACATGGAGAATCCTCAGTGTTGCTTGGTTTGTAAGTTTTAATACCCTAAGTCGATGACAACTCTTCCATTTTTGTTTCTATATTATTCTTTAAAAAGTATTATCCAATATGAATAATTCTTTGAAAAAAAATCGCAGTCCATTTGAATAAAATATGTCAAAAAATTGCATTAAAAAATGTTGAGCTGGGATTCTACACGAGAATGCTTCATCCGGTGGGTACTGCCTCACCCGCTGAGTGATCAGAAAATGAAGTACTCAACTTTTTCATGAGCACAAACTCAGAAGGCTACATATAGTATCGGATTTAAAAATATTTTTAAGAATAAATATACATACGTTAATAATATAAATTTTTTATATAGAATATATATAATTAATAAAGTAAATAACTAATCAAAATAAATACAAATTTTAAAGTAGAGAGTGTATTAAGCGTGAATCCACTGCTGTCTACACACTCAGAGACCGTATTAACAACCTTGTCACTCGAACTACCAAGTACCAACCTATGTTTTTCCTTAGAAAAACAAAATTACTGTGTTTGGATACCACCATGTAATTGCATGAAAAATATATTTTCATATGGGTGAATATTCGATCAAGTTGAATCTAATTGAGTAAAAAATTTGAATTACTCGATTTGACCCTATTTTTCCATTCAAATTTTATTTGATTTTTTTCCGATATGAGTTTTATAAAATTTGAGTCAAGTTTTTCGAGTTTATACTCATATTTCATTGTAATTATTTATAATATTATGGTTATTTTTAATTTAAATAACTTTCTCTAACCATATAAGATTTACATATAGATTTCTCCAAATTCTTTTTTATATGTATAAGTAAGATTTATAGTGTCATTTGAGAAAACAAATATCATCTGATATTATATATTATATTTATAATGTTATTTTTAAAAGAAATGATTCTAAGGGAAAAAAACAGTGATAATAATATAAAGGAGTCATGGAATTGATAGGAAGAATTAATTTATAAAAAGTTACAGTTGAATGATCAAGTTAAATAAAATACAAAGTTAATGGACTAAATTATAAAAATATGGATTGAATTTAAATAGATATTTTATAGTTTTAGAGGAACATGTTGTTCAAATTTGATCAAAGACTTAAAATGAATGAAGAAATGAAGAAAATGATAAAATAAAGCAAAGTCAAAAGACTAAATTACAAAAAGATAAAATTTATTTTCAAAAAGAGAAATTGAAGCTATATAGGTATTCTATAGTGATTTTAGGAGCAAGTGGTTTAAATTTGGTCAACATGATCTTGAAATGAATCATGAATTGAAGCAATAGAGAAATAAGTGATTAAATTGCAAAACGATCAAATTACTTGGACAAATATCATAACGACATCGTTTTGAAATTTGATTTTCAATTTTTTGAATTAATAAAATTTGAACTTGACTCGAACTCAAAACTAATTCATTTATTCGAGTTGAATCAAATAACTCAAAATTAAATAAAAAATATTTTTTCTAGTCAAATCGAGTTTTGCTCACTTCTAATTCTATAATAATAATTACACTCACATATAATTACAAAATATTCTAATTTTCTCGATATATTTAATTGACAAAGTATAATTACATCTTGATTCTCTATGTAATATTTAACAATAAAAGTTGTAATTATATAGTTATTTAAATTTAAATTATTAACTCATATTAATTATAAAACTAAATAGTATATTTAAGTAACAAAGTCTTGAATAAATTTCAATAGGAAAGCTAAGCGTGGCATCTAAATGGCTGTCCCTTTTTCCCATATGTATGGGGTAAGGGGGAGGTAAGATAGTAGGTTACGCCCAACACTAAGTTGAGAGCAACTTCCGTAAGAGACCTCCGAATTATGAAATGCCCTCCGTGAGACTCGATCCCACGACCTCAAGGTTAAGAACCTTGTGCTCTACCAACTAAGCGTGGCATCAAACCATATAAACTATGTTTTGTACAACATGATTTGATGAAGTTAATCAATACAAGAATATGAAATGTATTTGCTGGAAAGGCCCATCTCCCATGCAACAGTACGCATATACATGGGGAATCTAAATCATTGATGGAAATGAAGCAGCAAAGAAACAAAGGAAAGGAAGAGAGTGCCAGTAAGGCAAGTGAAGCCGATAGTTGCCCCAACCAGACCCACAAGTTGAAACAATTCTGATCCATCTCTTCTTGCTTTATAATCATACCCACCACCATAATTCCACCCATACTTATCTTCATTTGATCTGCAAAATTTATCCATCTTCTCCCTCATCTTCACCTTCTCTATTCTCTCCCTTAACACTCCCATATTCGCATCCACCCGACTACTCGATCCATCTGCTGCAGAAATAAACAAACAAACATAAATACGGCGGGTTTAATGCAAGTATAGATATAATCCATATAACAGTTCTCAACAAACGATATTTCAAAGACTTCTCTTTATAGAATTAGATCGCCACGCATCAAGAAAGCAAGATAATAGATGATTGTAGATTTACCTTCTTCTCTAAAGCTTTGAGCTCTGACACGAAAGGCTTGACGAGTATAAGGCTTGGAAGATGGTGAGATTGTGGCGAAAGTTGAAGGTAGTGAAGAAGAAGCCATGGTGATGGTGCAATTAAACATGATTTAAGTATTAAGACGGCTAAGGAGAAATATATTATATATTTGAATATGGCTAAGGATCAGTCTGAAAAGATGTGTTTCATGGAAGAAGATATTGATCATTATTTTGATTCAACTTCATATTTAATAGTCAAATCTTTGCAATTAAAAATTTGAAGCGAAATTTGGAACTATTCTCTTGGATGATTCAAGTAAAGCTGGTGTCTATATATAGAGAAAACTCCTAACGTTTTATATAACTAATATTTTAATAAATACATTATCGAATTTAATAATATAATTATATTTATCGTGATTTTAAAATTTTAATTTGATATAATAATTTTATTTTACCGGTAAGATTTATTATTATTATTTATATATATTTAAGTATTAAAGTGTTTATATTAAACTGATGTGACTTCTAAAATGGTGTTTTCTTCATGTGTTTTAAATTACTTTACTTCCACGAAGAATAGTAGAACCAATAAATTATATAAATCAGATCGTGTTTATCTTTTTATTATATCATATTTTTTGTTATTTTGTACTATCAATATCTTCATTTTACTCTTTGAATAAAAAATAATTATATTTAATTTCATAACATCTTAAATATTATAACATTAATGATATCAATGGAATAATATATATAATTTATATGTTACTTTTTTTTCTTTCATAAATATATGATCATAGAATTTCATAAATTATTTTAAAAATTATTGAAAGAATTATGATTATAACAATCATAATAGTGTTTTAAATTAAGCTTACCGCTAGGGCTGAGCAACGAAATCGAAGAAACCGAAAAACCGGCACAAACCGAGTAAAACGGTTCGATTCGGTTTGACATTATACGGTTCGGTTTTCGGTTCGGTTTAAAGTCTTCATTCTTTTGATTCGGTTCGGTTCGGGTTTTTCATATGAAACCCATTTGTTCCATATTAAACCGAATAGGCAATTTTTTTAAAAAAATTATAGTTTCAAGTGATTTTTTCATTGAAAACCCGAAAAACCGAACCGAACTGAAAAACTCGAACCGTTAAAAAAACAAAAAAAAAACGATTTCGGTTTTTTCGGTTTTTTAACCATTTAGTTTCGGTTTAAATATTAAAAAATCGTTTATTTCGATTCGATTCAATTTTTGGTAAAAAACTAAACTGAACCGAACCGAATATACCCCTACTTACCGCAATGGGTTAAGCATTTATTATATTTGCAACCACCGTAACCTAATTCTTAATGCATAAACACAATGCAGAAAATACATGGACACAATGCATAAACGATTATAAATTTTTTTCTTTTCTTATAATAGCAGTTATAAAAATGGTTTTTTACTTAAATATAGTGTCCTATTATATTTATTATGAAAATAATTTTTTAATAATTTATAAACTGAGTTGAGAATCTATCAACCAATGACACAAATTTATATAAATTTTCTTAATACAATATCTAAACTACTCAGACTCCTCTCAATCCATGAATTAAAAGATAATAGATAATTAACTCACATCTTGTGTGTTATCACTTGATTAGTAATTAAACTTTTTTTTTAAAATATAATAATAAAAATTAATATTTGAATTTTTATTAGAAAAGTTTCACTACGTATGATAATTATAAATTTATTAAATTAAATTCTAAATAATTAAGTAAATCTATGCTTTCTATATACCCATTTTAATTGATTTTATGGTTGTCTTTCCGATTTCTCAGGATTTTATTCAAACTAATATGATTGATTTGTGTCATATACTTAGTTTTGGTGAGTAAATCTTTCAACGAGAATTTTATGCATACACAATATCTCAAACTGAATATTTACTTAAAAATATCAAGATGTTTACCACTTAAATCAACCCGTTCATAATTTGAATATTTTTTTTAAGACTAGCATGCTGGGTTCCAATCAATGTCAAAGTCTTGATTTCCATAAAATTAGGGTAAATCACATGGCAAACACTTGGTTTGGAAGCCAAATTAGCGGAAAGTGTTCACAATTTTTAGCGGAAAGTGTTCACAATTTTTTGTTTTATATTTCTTTTCTTTGCGCCTATTTCGTTTGGTTATATTCAAATAGGTTCCATTTTTCTACGAGTAAACTACACCTCATAGTCATTGGACTAATAGTAAAATTAAATTTACATTATTTTATTTTACGATATTACATTTCTGTCATTAAACCAATTTTTTTATGTAATTAAACTGAATAATCAAGAACCACCCAGAAACATGACAAAAAATTGGGCCAAAATCGCTTTCTCGTTGTTTTCTATTGATTTTTCAATGTATTAGACCAGTTCTTTAAAATATTTAGCCCATTACATTCATTTCTGGCCCAGACCCAATGAACCCGTCCAGTTTAAATGAACCAGTGAAGTGATGAAACCATTCAATATTACATAAAAAAAACTAAAAAAAGAAGATGAATTAATAGCTAATTAAAAAATGGATCTTCATTATTTGTTATTTTTAGCCGGGTCTTAGGTTTCTGTCTATATGCAGAGACTCTTTCGCAGGGATTATTTTGCAGGGATTACTCCCCATTACAGAAGCACATATGATATTAATGACTGCATATGAATACTGTTTAACTATGTATTTATGTAATTATTTATACATGCATTGCATTTTATCTATATTTTTAATTTTCTGACTGCCGGAGGTCTTTCACGGAAGCTATTCTCAACCTGGCGTTGGGGGCAGCCTACTACCCTACCTCCCCCTTACCCCATACATATGGGAATTGGGTTTTGTTGTTGTTGTTGTTGTTGATCTTCATTATTTGTCTTGTACGTTAAATTCAAAAGCTAATTAAGGCTTAGGCACCTATAAACTATGAACTTTGTTATCTGATTGCACGATAATCCACTAGCTGTATTTGTCATGTGGCTTTTTAGCTGTTCTACATTAATATATACGTACATATATATAGTAAAAGTACACTAATATAATTGGATTGCATGGTTAATGTGACATCTATATTTAATCACTTCCGATATATTCCGCGAAATCAAATGTTAGTAAATGGTCTTTTTGATAATATGAATGAACAATATTTAGATAATCATCAACTTCAAAGAAATCATATGATTTTAAGTACATTAATATAATTGAATTGCATGCTTAATGTGATATCTTTAATATAAAAATATTATTTTTTATCAACATTATCATAATTTTTCAGCTTGATTCAAAGGTTAGATGTTGAATTCTTTTCAAGAAACTCGAGTTCAAATATGTATCGTCATCTTATTGGATAATATTAATTTATTCAAGACTGACGTATGAACACAACACGTTAACTGTCATCGATAATAGTATTCAAAATGTAAGTGATCTTAAAGTTCAACCCACTTTATTCTTTTTAAAATTGAAAATAAAAACAAGCAAAAAGAGTGGTGGCCAACCAATCCATTTTGATGAAAGGATCTTTTTTGCCACCTTCTTTAGGACTTGTAATTGTGGGACATTAAAAAAGAAAAAGAAAATGTAAGGGTTCTTGGAACCATAGCCACGAAGATCACAATGCAATGTTAGGGGGAATATATTCCATGAAATTATGCAGAATTAGGTTCTCGAAAATATCAACCATCCACCAATGGTTTGGATGATAATAAGTGGATAGAGAACGTAAAGGAAGGCTGCTATGTTTTTGGCAGTAGATACCTTGAATTTATGTTCAAGATAGAGACACCAAATGTCCGATTTCGCATCTATTTTGGCAACAACGACTATATCTACCTTGTCTTCCCAACAAGGCAAAACAACATTGTTCTATGGTTTTATTAAATTACAGGGAACAAACAACAATGCCTGCTTCATCACTCATCTCGATTCATTTTCTTCGCTTTTTTCCTTCACATTTTTAAATTATAATCATGCAAAAAAAATATTCGAGCAAATGTATACATAAGATATACGTACATTATTAATTAGTAAGAAAAATTCTGAACAAATACTACCTTATCATCATCTAAACTATTAAAAAAACATTCTTTAAAAAATCAAATAATTTTTTTTTAAAAAAAAGTCAATATAGTAATTTAAAATATTTGACATTTCGTTCGTTTTTAAATTTTCATTAAGAAACAATCTATATTTAAAAAAAATTAAGAATTGGATTTAATTAAAAATGAATAAAAATAATTTATTAAAAACATAAATGTTGAGGACGAAAATTGACACTATACCTTAATTTAATTATAAACCTTCAACCGAACCATGTACTTGAACCAAGCACATTGTTTACCTTGTTCTTTGTCATGAAAATACATATTTGTTTTTTCATTACTTGAAACTTCATTGATAGTTGCTATATTTAATCTAAGCTATTAATTTATATGCATGGTTTGTGACGCCAAGATTTATATATTTGGTAAAGTATATCATTTTCATCAAATTTTAGGGTTTGTTTCATTTTTGTCATTGGACTATAAATTGTTTCAATTGTATTAATGTATTTTTTGAATTATTTTTTTATTGAATCGTTCAATTATTAATAATGGGATGATGTGATATTATTGGCGACGACGACAATATTAATTTTAGATTATTTGTTAATCCTTATTTTTCTCCTTTTTTTTCTTTCCTCACTTTCTCTATAATTTAAATTATTTTTTTGTTTAATTAATTTCTTATTGTATTAAATTGTGGATATTTTTTATTAATCTAGGGTACGTACAAGGTAATATATGTTTAAAGATAACTCTCAATCTTTTGACATTAAATGCTTGTTCCCCTGACATTTCTGGTGTCCGAACTCATAACTTCAAGGAATAACAACAATTCATTTAACACATAAGTCATTGTATATATATTTTTTGTCAACTCTAATAGCACTTTTTTCCTTAAAATTAGATTTGTTATCGTCTTTCCATATACGTAAGGCATTTATTTGAATATCCTGTTAAATTATCCATGTTTTGGTTCCTTAAACTAGATATTGATAGTTATTATAATCACCGAAGATGGATCACGATTGAATTGTGGTAATGTCAATTTGTTAACGAGTCATTATTACTATA